GAACTTTGGGAGGCCTGAGGGCCCTTTTTGCCTCCGCAAACCTTGCTCTCTGGTGCCCCCTGAAAAGGTGAACAAAAGCACCAGTGTGATGTCACCATTCAGCATCACATTGCTCTGCTGAGCTACTGTGGTTAAGCCGAGCTTGCTTACAAGCTAAATTTAACCCTTTTGGTGCTTAAGAGAAGCTACAGAACACCAAAAGGGCTACATTTTGCTACTTTTGGGCTTTACGGCACTACAGAGGCCATTTTATGTATGTATGTATGTATGTATGTATGTATGTTATTATTTTCAGCAGCAGAAGCCACACTAGGGAGCAGTGGGGAGCCCGTGAGCCTACAAAAGATGCCCACATCCAAAAGATGCTCATTCCATTTCAAATAAAGATTCAATTCCAATTCCTGATCCAAGAAGTAATAGGCACATGGACCTCCTCTGCAAAATTGGGAATGCAACTGTTATCTCAAAACATAGGGGCTGTTACCAATCTATTAAGAACTTAAAGATAATGATAATCCAAGACTACCCTTTCTCCTGGGTCAAGGCACCAATCTTGGAGCTGATGGTCCTTGATCAAATGGTGGGGGAAAGGGATTATGGGAGAGGGAGGTATGCGCAACTATCTACGGCAAGGTGCAATGCTTGCCTATGTGCACACTAATGGGGAGGTGGAGGAACTGGGCTCTGTTATGGCGACTTGTTGGCCTGTGGGCCCTGAGCCTACAGTAGACTGGACAGAACCCCCCTAATTACAAACGAACCAAGGGCTTGGATCCAGAAGAACATCCTTCCTTCACTGGAGCCAGTTCCTTTCGATCCCGTTCAGGATCATTCCTCTTTCCATGTCTCCTCCATGTTCTGACAGCAGCCAGCTGACTTCCCAACTCCAATGCCACATAATGCCATGGGATTTCCTTTCCTCCCATTTTCAGCGTTAGCTAGGGCTTTGCTCTCTTGACTATGCTGATCTGCTCATTTGTCTTACTGCGAATCATGGGTTTTGCTACTGATGGAACAAGTTGATGGGAAGGTCACTCTTCACTGTTCCAGGTGAAATAAATGGATGTCCTGAGACTGGAATAGTAACAAAAAATTGCGGGTTTGTTTTCTGCTATATTAATTTCTCTGGCACCTGAGTGTGGCTGCACCTGAATGCCACTGAATAAATGGGAACTGTGAAGCATTGATGTTTTCTAGATTGCTATTTAAATTATTTAAAAGGTGAAAACAATTTGCAGCTTGATTCTGATGTTTTTGCTGAAAGAAACCTTAAAGCGTGACTGTTCTTTGGCATCCCTGAAGAGAGCTGTAATTTTATTTGGGAACCACATCCTAGAAATCATATACATAATTTACCACTGGCCATGCTAATTCATATCATAGAACCAAAAATATATTCTTACAGAAATTGCACACTTACAAATACAGATAATGCAAACACAATATCACTTGACATTTCAGTATTTTTGAAAATGTTGCATTAAACCTGACTCGGGTTCAGATGATTAGTTCAACCTTATTTTATGAAAGGTATTAAAATTAAAAAATTGTGTTATGGAATTAGAAAACAATTTGTGATGAGTCAAGCTGAGACGGTGTCTTACAGAATCAAAAAGGGTCGCAGAGGAGCCAGGACTCACAGGGTCAAAGTGTCAATACATTTTGATTAGCGGGAATTATAATGTCATCTGCCAGTCCCCTTAGGGCTTCCTTGTTCCATCTGTTGTCCTCACAGCAGCTATGGGAATGAGGATTTTTTCTGCAGCTACAATATATTCTTGCAAGCTATCTGGGGGTGGCTTGGCCTTGAATGGAAGATTAAGACCTATTAGCTTTGCAAAAGACCCATTCCTGGGGAAGATGAGCACTGCTCATAGCTTGTAGATATAGATCAATGCAACTGCCTGCATTTTGGGATTTTCCTTGGGGGTTTGGCTATGGGAATCTCATGGGGCACACCTGCACTCAAATTTTACCATTACACCACAGGAATCAAATTAATCATGCCTGTAGCACAGACATGCTGTTTTCCTTCCCTTTATCTTCCACTGGATAAATGCTATAGATTGTTTCCCATTCTTTTACAGGTACTTTATAATGGATGACCCATTTGCTCCTGATTTATGATGGAATCCACTGTGCAGCTGAAATATATCGAGCATCCTAGAGGAACTGGTTTTACATTTCCTTGCTGCATACGCACTAGATCTGGCCAATTTATGTCTCTTTGTCAATATATGCTTCCTTGGGACTAGTTCTTTGTGAAAAGCTAGTGAAGTGATGTCTCAACACACTTTAGATGCTCTATAGTAAAAGCTTTAGTACTCAGTTGGGTTCCAAGAATTCTAAGATCAATCCGAAGTCTGTGCCAATATGACTAAGCCAGGATACTGCATGCCAAGTAGGGAATTAGGCTAAACCACTGGTCCCTTTACAGCCAGTGCTTCAGAAGAACAAAGAATGGCCAAACACATTACTAAGAGTTTTAAAATCTCTTGGAAATCTGGCTTAAATGTGAGATGTAGAGCACCAACCATGATGCAGGGATATTTCAGGCTTCTGCAACCTGGCATCCTCCAGACATGTTGGAATACAAATCATGGCTGGGGTGATGGGAGTTGCAGTCCACTACATCTGGAAGGTGCCAGGTTGTTGTTATTCTGTGCCCTCAAATTTTCTCTGACTTATGGTGACCCTATGAATGAAAGCCCTCCAGAAAGCCCCCTGCCCAGCACTTGTACATTCAAGCCAGAGACTTCTTTGGTGAAGTCAGTCCATTCATACTTGGTTGACCTTTTCTTCTGTCGCTTTCAACTTTCCCTAGCATGATTCCCAGGATGGGAAAGTCTAATTTAGGAGCTGCATTTGTAAATGACCCTTCCTCCAAACTGCCTAGGGCTTTGCACATTCTAACACTAAATCATCCCATTTTAACCTTACAATAAGCCCAATCCCCCCCCCCCCCCGGCACCTTTTGGAAGGAGAGATTTCCAACCTGCCCACATCTGACCCTTTAGCCACGACACCAATAGCACAACGCATGCCCAAAGGTCACATGGTGGGAGGAAGGTGGGACTGTGCCCCTTCCAAACTCTGCACCTTCCCCAGGCTTTACAAAGTCTATGCACGGGCATATTGTAGACTTGGGGCTCATGCCACTGGCACAAGAGATGCTTCCAAAGGTGGCCAATACGCATCTTTCAGGAAATGGCATAGGGAGTGCAAGGCTCTTAGCAGGGGGCAAGCACATTACATGCAACGCTATTGTGTAAGAAACATCTATCACAGAAAATAAGACACTGCCAGGAAATCCGAAATTTGTCCTCCAGAATATCTCCCCATCAGTGTGCACCCCTAGCTAAAGCACACTCCTGTCTACTCAAATATCTCGTTAGCTGAATGTCTGGATGTTGTCCAAGGTAAGCAGAAAACGAGATTGTGCTGTCCTTTTGTGCCCTGGCCCTAAGAGACTTTGCTGACCCGTGGCACTTGCTGAATTCAGACAAGCTCAGTGGACTTCCTTTCCCAATGAGTAATTCAACTGCCACTGTTTCTTTCCTTTAGTGCTGTTCAGTCTCTTCCACAACCGAATACCTCTCCTCTAATCTCTGATAAGTTCCATTCCAGCAGTCCTGTGTACTCATCATTCTTAGTTCATTTCATTGGATGCAGTCTATTGACACAGCCGGTGATCCCCATGGAAGAGGCTGTCATGCATCCCGTTAAATGCAGGGCGGCTGCTCCATTCTCTTTCCCTACTAGCTTCTCCCACATGAATTTACTGAAATGGCTTTAAGCTTGCCAGTGATTGCAGCCTTTTAATTCTATTTTGCACACCCTGTAAGGCTGTTCCTCTGTGTTCCTTAAAATGCATTTTGACTTCCTATTTTCTAACTCTGTCCTGCTTTGGATATGAGTGTTGTAAGACTAGGTGCAGATATCTTTCTTGTGCAGGAGGCATAAATGGTAAGAAATATCCAGGGCTGAAAAAGGCATAATACAATTTGTTTAAAACGACCTAAACCAAACCAAACAAAATATTTTTCTGTTCCATTCTTTTCACTGTGGGGCTGCTCAATCTATTGCAGATCTCTGGTTATGAGCATGTCTGAAATTGTACATGGGGTGGAGAAAGTAGATAGAAAAAAATTATTTTTCCTTTCCCATAAATAGAATGATAGAATCATAGAATAGTAGAGTTGGAAGGGGCCAGAAGCTCCCGGCTATTGCAGGGAGCTAAATCACACCTTCCCATTCAGGTGACTGTCAAGACGTCTTTTGAATGCCTCCAATGAGGGAGAACCCACAACTTCCCAGCTAAGAGGTTCCATTGCTGTACTGCTCTGACAGGGAGGACATTCTTCCTGGTGGCTGGTCTAAAGTTCTTCTTCACACAGTGCATAGATAAACCATAAAATGAGCTATCACAAGCTGTGGACACCAAGAACGCCAAAAGAGTAGCAACTCCATTTTCCTGGAGGATAAGGCTAATCATGCCTGATGGCTTGATGCTACCTCCAGCTGTTGGAAAAAACAACTGGGAGGAGAATATTGTTCCCCCACTTGCACTGCAGATTGGCCACTGCAGGAATAAAATGCAGGATAGATGGTCCTTGTGCTTGATTCAGCATGTCTTTTCTTAGGTTTTTATCACACCTGTTTGCAATTCTTTACCAATGCCAACCAACTCCTACAGAGCAATAAAAATGCTATATGCTCTCTAAAACACCTGTTCATAAACCAACTGAAGAGTAAATCTCAAATAAAATCATGTGATTTTAAAGTTTCTCAAAAGAGAAGGATGTCTATGAGAAAATGTTGCAGGCTAGTGGTCATATAATATAGCCATGTGACTCCAAAGAAAGTCAGACATTTGAGTAAGTGTGCATAGACTTGCAATCTTTCAACTTGATCAGACGCATGTCTCCTAAGAACGTTCTACTTTGTTCAGTGGAATGTATTTTTCAATACCAATTGCCCACCTTTTCAGCCCATCTTACCCTCATTCTTCCATTTCTTATTGCTGGCCCATCTTCTGCCAACCTCAACACATAGAGATCCATTTTATACTCTCTTCCTCCTCGAATACTGAATCCAAATCCTTTGGCTCCCTTCTCCATGTCAACAGTAAAATAATCAAAATCCTGCATGATCAAAGAACATGGGGAAAATATTGAAGTGAATATTCTCAGTCTGTAGCTCACTGCAATGAAAGAACTTGGTCAAGCAGGTTTACTGCTTGGGATTATGGCCTGGTTCAGGTAATATTTACTAGGCAGTGGCAATTTTTGTGCGCTGGAGAATTCTTAAAGTCATGTTTGATGTCTGTACTCCTTGTAGAGAATTATACACATAAGCACCTGATTCCAAGCTTCCCTCTAACCCCCCTTTTTTTTGAGGGAAATGAATCATGCAAATACGGCAGTTGTGTTCAGGCAATTGTGTGATGTACTTGTGCCACACATTTACATGTGTGGGAGAGAGAAAGAGTATGTGATCACTTTCTTATCACATGTTGCCACCTGGAAAGTATCTGAACTAGGCTTAAGATATACTGGTTGCATTAGGAAATCACAATAAATTATAATTACAAATTATAAATAAATAATAAATTTATTGTGATGGGAATGAGTCTAGCCATGTTTCACACTGATCTGTTTTGGTCCAATCTTTTCCCCAGTACAAAGTCAGGAGAGGTCAGAGGGTTTTGCCTCCTGTTAACTGCAGGTTTTCATTTCATCCAAGCTAACAAACTGTAGTTATTCCAAACAAACATTTATTTCAAACAAGCTATGTTTAAACCATATTTCAACAAACCATTAAGCACAATTTAGTGTTCAGATGATGGAATGCATGAGTGCAAGAATTACCTAGTTTCTTTGCTGTGATGATAAACCATGGTTTATTGTGATGCCTGACTGTAGAAACTCTCTTAGGATAAGCAGGTAGGATATCAGTGCTTTGTATGGTGTGTAACCACACTGATGAAAAGTCAGTGTCACAAAGCATGGCAGTATTCTAACGTCATTTCAGCTCTTTCAGATCTGTCACAGACAAATAAAACCAAAGTGACTGGAGCAGACTTACCTGGAAGTAATCCCAGTGAAATGACTGGAACATACTTCCAAGCAAATAGTTAAAGGATTAGGATGCAAATCTGCTTAAGTCCCAGGATTTCAGTTGTGAATTGCAGATAAGGATGTAAAGGGGATTTTGAGAATATTAAACTCTTCTCTTGTAAAATTTAGAAAGCTTTTTAAATGTTGCTTTATGTTTCTGAAATGCTAAATACTATCATTTCCCCTTCTATGTGTACATGTAAGATGCATGAGATTCTTATACAACACTGCATATCCAGTTTATACTATCCACAGAGTCCAGCAGTAAATCTGTTTTTGGACTGTTTGGGGAAGGATATTTCAGGTCCACATGCTATTCCCCAAAGAAATAATTTCTTCTGGATAGAAACATGGTACATTGGGGATGTTCTGCTCACTGCAAGGCTAGTCTTTTATAAGCAGTGAATTTTTCATAGAAAAACATCCACGTATGCAAGATCTCTAAGTACAACCTGGAAACCTGCAGTTCAGGAAAAGATTTGCACTAATTTTGGTGGCAGTACAAAGCGATCATCACATAGACACACTGCTTTTAGAAGGGATCTTTTTCATCAAAGCCCATAGAACTTCTCCATCCTTAAGCATCATTAACCATTTCAGTACATTCCCTCTGTAGGCATGCGGAGCATAAAAAGCAATGTATACATGAGTGCAGCATTAGTTGTTTAACATAAATCAATGCAAGTTCCGCTGTACCTGTTTGTTACGTTTGTCCGATTATTTATGTCCTGATGCAAAATGTCTTAGGATGGGCTGATTAAGTAAAAATGTAAAAATGCAAATGTCAAGCGCTGAAGGTTCTGAGCAAAGAAGCACCTGCTCCGTTCCTGCATGCCTCATGTCTACTTGCATAATTCAAACCACCATGCAAGTGCACGCACAGGTATGACCTTCTGAACAAATTGCAGCTTCCCTTGAGTGCCTTTGTAGGGAGTTTTATGATTTCCTAATTACAGGCAGTCGCCTTCTATGAGTGTGATAGAAGAGAGAGCATTTATGCAGGAATTCCATCTGGTTTGTATTTAGGCAATGCACTGAGTTAGTCTGCTTAGATTATTCATATTTCATTTTATGATAAAAGTGGAAAGAAATGACTGTGTGACCACAATCTAATGAGCTTTGTTACACAAGTACAAGGGGTCATGAGTGTGATATCATCTGAATGCCTGGTCCCAATTAACGCTTTTTCTACAATATTTTGTACCAGCTGAAGTATTCAGACAGCTTTGCAAGACAAGAGCAAGCCAAATAAGAAGGTATCAGAGTATGGCAGGATCACAGCTGGTGTATGAGCTGAAGATGGTGGAAGATGCAGCGTGTGATGGGAGACACTTGGGCATCCAACAGCACGGCTGGATGTAATAATTATGATGATGATTATTTATTATTATCATAATAAATTATTATAATTTATTATTATGTTCTATTGTATTTCAATGTATTTTATTGTGTTGTAAGCCGCCCTGAGGCTTCGGCAAGGGGCGGCATAGAAATGTTATAATAATAATAATAACAATAACAATAACAATAACAATAATAATAATAATAATAATGCTCCCAGCCAGAGTATAGGATCCTTACAAGCTGGTGTACAAAGTGCAGGTGTGGATCTTTCCCCTGCCATGCTTGCCTGGAAGCATTTTCAATTGTTTTAAACCTGACTCTGTCCCCAGGCCTATTCATACAGACAGTGTTGCATTCCAAATGAATTGAACATGTGAATCTGCCTTCTACGGAGCCCGGCCATTGGTCCATCAGGTCCAGTATTATTGTTTACTGCTGGGGTGGACAACTTGTGCCCCCCCCCACCAATTTTGTTGGCTTATGGCTCCCATGATCCTTCACCATGGGCTATGCTGGCAAGGGCTGAAGGAGTTGTAGACCAAAACATCTGGAGGACCACAAATTGCCCACTCGTGTCTGCTCTAACTAGCAGCAGCTTTCCAAGGTCTTGGGCAAAACTCTTAACTATCACCTCCTTTCATCTGGAAGTGCCAGAGATTGAACCCAGAACCTTATGCACACCAGGCATGTCCTCTGTGATGGAGCTGTGTGCATCCCACCAAATTTCCAACGTAAAGAAATGTAGTGGTGCATGGGTTTGGGTTTTCCATTTAATGTGAACAGGGGAAAGAATCGAGTTCCTTGCAGATTGTTTTCAGAGATAAGCATTCGCTCCCCCCTCCCCCCTACACACAGAAGCAGGTACCTGGGGCTGCCTGTAATCTGGGAGGGGATATTGCCTGGTGTCAGGAGAATGTTGCCTGTAGTCCATCAAAGGGGGCTGCCTGTAGTCCAGCGGTGGTGGCTGCTGGTAGTCCAAGACTGGCGGATGCCTGTAGTCTAGTGGAGGCTGCCTGTAATCTGTTGAAGGCTGCCTATAGTCTGTAAAGGGAGGTTGCCGGATATCAGGTTTCACATCCTGCCTTGCTTTTACTTCTGACCTATAACTAAGGAATAAAGAGCAGTCAGAATGGAACCAGAACAGTGCTGCATATCCTGACCTGAAAAGCAAGAACTGGGTAGATGGTCGATCCATTCCAGGAAGTGAAAAGCAGACTGGGGGACTGCCACGTGGGTTTCCATGGAGCTTGACCACCCAATCAATGTCTACATTGACAGCATTTAATTTCCAGGGGGAAAGCAGTACTGTGTTTGAAGGCATGGGACTCGCTGTCTGGATGGCAGAGGTGTTGGGAGAAGAGCCTCAAGGGGAACAGCCATGGAGGCAGTGCACAAGTTGGGAGTTTGCACAGCAGCTGCCCATGGCCTCGGATGACCTCTGACTCCACCAGCACTTCCAGCAGGTGCCAGCAGGACTGTGCTTTCCTCTTGCTCCTCAAGCTGCCTTGCTGGGTGCTGTCTCAGCCAGGGGTTGCCGCTGGAGTGCTCAGGCAACACTGCAGCACTGGAGGAGCAGCCTGGGCTGCAAACCTGAGTGGCAGCACCTGAACAGGTGCGCTACAGGTCATGACTGCCTAAGGACCTCATCCTGGACATGTTTAGACAGGACAAAGGACAGCCCTCGACATCTCTCAGCCAGCTGGCCTGGGGATGCTGGGAGTTACAGGAATTTTTCCTGTCTAAACATGCCTAAGATTGCTCCTTCCTTGCCTTTCCCAAGCCTGGAACTCCCCAGATGCATCAGGCCACAGTAGCCATGCTGGCTGGGAGGACACTGGGTCAGGGAGGCTGGCCTGAGTCATGTGTGCCTTAGATGGCCACCTACGTATTACGGTCAGAAAGCAGTAATAAGTAATCAGAAACAATCCCCCAGGAGCAAGGTAGTGTTGCACACACGTAAACATTGCTTCGTATCTCCAAACACTCTCTCTCTCTCTCTGTACCTTTACAGTACAATCCTACACATGTTTACTCAGTCAGCTTAATGGGGCTGACTCTGGGCAAATAGAAGAGGAACCCAGGCAGAAAAACCCGCTCCCTAATGCCGGTCAGTGCCAGCTTTCCAAAGAAAACGTGGTTTTCTCCACCCATGAAGCAAATTCTGGATATGCATTTCCCTAACAGCTTCTCCCTCAGGAGACAGTTTTCATGCATCCATACGTTATATGCATGCACCAGCTATCTTCCATCATGCTAATCAAGACTCAGCAGTCTTCCATCTTGAACAAGGCCTGCTTGGTGCAGCTGGGGCCATTGGGACATGCCCTGGGAAACTGAAGAGTATCAAGAGCAGTTTGCTTTAAGGTACAGGGCAATTTGTTACTTTAAAAGTATAACAAGTATTAAAAATGTTGAATGCTCATTTGGTCCAGCTATAGCATGCCGGAGCCCATGCTTATAAATATTTTGGATGACTGGCAAACTAACCTCTAGTACACTACATGAAACTAAGTCTCAGTCATGTCAATAGAACTTATTTCTCTGGGGACGTGCATTTAGGATTGTGGCTGAAATATTGCAGGAGTGTTAAACAAAGATGACACTCAGGGCATTGTATGTGAACCACAGCTAATTAGTCCTTTTTATAATACAGTGTAGAAACTTCGAAGCTGTCATTTACTGTTGGGTCAAGGTCTGGATGAGGTACATTGGTAAATCAATGATGTGAAGTGGGTATAATGATAATGTATTCGGTCCCATTTTACAAGACAAAAGTTAATCCAAGGACAGAATATAATTGCCTGGAAAATAATGGACATAGAAGTTTTACACTGATCATTCCTTTTAAGCTGAAGCTTTGGTTCTTACGTCCATGAGTGAGAGGGGGTGGGAGACAACAGTGATAGAGCAATTAGTTGGAATAAAAGGATCTGCTCTAAACAACTATTGCCATCAAGAAAGTGATTCCTAATACTAGTTGGTTTGTACAGATCATGGGGAAGAATAAAGATGAGCAACAGTTTCAAAAGAGCCAGTTTGGCATAGCAGTTGGAGTGCTGGATTGGGACTTGGGAGATCCAGGATGAGTCCCCACTTAGCCATGACACTCCCTGGGTGACTTTGGGCCTCTCACAGACTATCAGCCTAACCTACCTCACAGGATTGTTGTTGTAAGGATAAAATGGAGAGGAGGAAGAGGATTATGGAAGCCAGCTTGGATTCCTTGCAGGAAAAAAGGAAGGATATAAATATAATAAATAAATGCATATATACATACATAATTTAAAAAGATGGAATAACATCACAACCGTAAGTGGCCTATCTTTCACAACTGTTTTTGATGTGGCAAAGTTACCCAACAAACTTTTTGCCTGTCATTTTCCACATTGTAAGGTGTTCTTGGGATACAAGGTATACTGTTATGAATCTGCTCATTTCCTATGCATCTTCAGGGTGCTGTTGCTCGTTATTTTGGCCCTGGGTGGGTGCACCTCAGTTGATCTTATCATGCAAAAAAGGACCATAAGATGATGTTGAAAGTGCCCCGTTGAAAAAGTCCATGAACATAGGCTGCAACTTCTACCTCCTCATCTACAGTGAGCCCTTCTTCTTCCTACCACATCTGCATCAAGACGGTTGAAGAAGAAAGCATGAAATTATGCATCCTTTCATTATCAAAAGGATGAAGATCCACAGATCCCACAGGGGAGGCCTGTCCTCCTCTCAAAAAGGCTGTGGTAGGGGAGTGATGTTTGCTGATTTGCTTTCCCTGAGACCCCCCAAAATCTGGTCTCAAGAGTTGGAAAACTGTAGAGCATCTAGAAGATTCTTTAAAAGAAGCATAAAGGGTGGCATGGAAGCTACAGGGAGAAGAGAAAATTGCTAGAAATCATCTTCCTCCCATGTATCAGGGAAAGCCTCTTTTGCAAACAGAATCTAAATCCAGAATCCAAATTGGGATCCAGGCAAAATACAGTCACGCTGTTCCCTCCTCCAGTCCCCATCAAAGTCCCCCAAATTAACACTTCAGGAACCACAGTGTAGAACTGCATAGCTAGAGGAGGCGGAAGGTGCCCCAGTTCTTCGTCTCTTACCTGTTTTCGTGTCCTTGAGACTGGAGCGGCTGTGGAGGTGCCGGCTGTGCTACAGGGCTCGGCTGTGCTACAGGGCTCTGCTGTGACAGGGGGCTTTGCTGAGCCATCGGACTGTGCTGTTGTGCCATGGGGCTCTGTTTCTCTGAGCTGGGGGCAGAAGCTGGGCTGTTCAGCTCTGCAGAAAGGAACACTGGAGATTAGAAGGTTTGTCACCATGTCGCATTCAGAGTAAAGGCAACGGGGGGCAATCAAGTTCCTCAGTCATTCTCCGCCTCAGAGCATCTCGGTTTTGACTTGGCTTGAGTTATTATGGATTGTAATGAGATTATAAGACACCTGAATTTAGTCGGCTTCACTGGATATTCTCTGGGCTTTGAAATCTCATACAATTGTAGCTGATGTATGTGTTATTTAAAACCCAGTTGGAACCAACATGCAATTTTGGAACCAACATTGTTTCTCCCTTTGAAGAACAGAAAGGAATAGGGCCATTAGAAAAAGTCATCATGGTGAGAATTGGTACAGCCAGCGATGAAGTTTAATCTTTAGATGATTGAGACCCAGAAGTCTGAAATGGGAGAATGGCATTGGTGGATTGAGCTCTCCAGTACTGGACCAGTGGACCCGCTGGAAGAAGGTGCAGTAGAAATGAAAGAGGATAGTGAAGAAGTGAGAAGCAGTGAGACAGGGGAGGTGAAAAAGTAAAGGCTTGCTTTGATGCAAAATAATTGACTGTGCATAAATGAATGTCTGAGCTCTGATTTGAAAGACTCACAGTCCTACTGGAGCCCCGAAGATGCTAATTAAGACTTCCCCTGAGTAAGGGTGAGTAGTACTATATCCCAGACTACTCAGTGATAAGGAAGGAGGATGCTGAAATAGGACAGAACCAATACATCTGAATGAGTGGAGATGAGTGGGATAATTTATGTAGACAGCCAGTGTGGCGTGGAACTGGGACTCCAGTGATCTGGGTTCCAGTCCCTGCTCAGTCATGGAGCCCACAGGGTTATTGTTGGGAGATAAGATTGAGAGCAGCAGGAGGAGATTGATGTAAGCTGCTTTGAGTTCTTTAATAGGAAAAAAGCCAGATCTAAAGCTAATAAATAAATAATAAATAAATACAGTTTTCTTCAAAATGGCATGGACTGTTGAACTGGTTGCTGTGATGTGTGAATGCAACTGTGTTAGCAATCTATGGCTTGTTAGCTACAAGCAACCCAGAAAAGGAACCCACAGTTTGTTGTTGGGTGGTGAATTCTGGGTTGTTAAATTCATGGATTGTTGTTATGTGTGAACCCAAAATGCTGGGGATGTTAATGCGTTGTTTCTCAAAGGTATAGAGGTGGCAGACAAGAACACTATAAAGACTCAGCCGCACTACATTTTGTTCTTAGAGCTACATGGCGAATACTTGAGTTCTGAAACATTTACAAAGTCTGTGCAGCTTTGCCACCCATTAGCATGGAAAGTATGTTGAATAAGTAAATACTGCCCCAGTCTTTGTTGCTGGATGTACTGCAGTGCTGGAAAGGTACCCGGGTTACAGGGAGGAAGAGGGGAATGAGAAGTGAAGCAAATGACCCAGAGACTGAGAAATGGCCTGTTCAATTGTCTGCCAGACAAACCCTGGTTAGACCAGAAACAATGGATTAAATAAACCATGGGTTATTGTTACATGGAAACCAGACTTCTGTCTTTCCTGGACTAATAGCACTTCATGTCACAATTTACTAACAGAAAATGTTAGTTTTTACGGTGCTACGACACTCTTGTTTTCCTGGGGCCTATATCTTCCATTTGCCTTGCTCTATTTAAGTTCCACAAAGGTCTGTCCATCTGTTAAAACACAACTGCTATTGACCACTCTGGGCCTGCTGGATAGGAAACCATTACAGAGATTAGACCATCTGGCAGAAATATGTAGGTTAGAATGCTGCTTCTTTATGTATCCTAAATCAATTTTGCTAAAAGAAATGCCATTATCAAATAAGACCATTTCACTTAGTTGAGTCACATGCAACTACTATCTCAACTTTTTAAAATGCACATACAATAGACTTTCTTAGTTCTTTCAAATACTAAAACATTCCCCCCTTTTTAGAGGAAAGAGGTCTGTGAGTAGAATACTCATTCACCTAGCAACGCAGATTGGTCATAAATATACAGCAGAAACTACTGCTGTATTCAATGTATCTAGTCTATTAATATTCTGCTACTGGAATGTAGAGCTACATAGACTACTTAGAAACATAGAAACTGAGCAAGTCAGAAGGTGTCTCCCAGGCCATCTAGTCTGACCTCCAGTTCTAGCTGGTTCCACTCATGACATGCCGACCACTTGCATGTCCAGCCCCATCCTCACCGATGGGGCTTCAACCACCTCCTGTGGAAGCTCATCCCATACCTCTGGGGTCCTAACTGTCAGGAAGTACTTCCTGGCATCCAAACTGAATCTTGGTTCCTTGAGCTTGGGTCCATTGGAGCACATCCTGCTCTCCTCTGCAGGGGAGAACAGGTCTCTACCACCTCCGTGTACTTAACACACCACAACTCAGCTACTAGCTCTTGCAGCTCTGAACAGAACGCTCAGACCAAATACTGGTGGCTTTGTGCACAGGAGCCCTGTTTTTCTCCATAGTCTCTTGTGCAACTTTTGGTCATGTTAAATCTCAGCTCACAGCTGATAAGACCAAAATCTGGGCACTGTGTAGGAGAAAGGAGATCGCACGAGACATGTAAGAGATGCAGTATTTTTGCCTGCACGGTTTCTGGTGTTGCCCTCCCTTCTAAACTGACTGTAATCTTTTTAAAGGATGCTGATAAAGCACAATAATTTGTCTCAAGAAAAAAAAATCCAGCTAGCACCTTTAGTATAACCATAAACCGATCATTTGCTGCAGTACCTCCAAACCTGCTAACACCGATGCAGCACTGTCCTTTCCATTGGGCAGAGGTGTGGGGAGTCACCTTTGGCAGAAGATGCTGGGAAGAGGCTGAGAGGTGCTGGAGGAGGGAACATTGTGCCAAGCAACCTGCTCTGGGCCTTGCTGCTTTCTGGTGTGGTGGAGGCATGAAAAAAGTGCAGTAAACTTTTGAAAACGGAAATGGAGTGCGAGGCATCTTGTTCCTTGCCCCAGGCAGCAGTTGGGTCAGGATAGCCCTGCTGAGAGGGACATCTTCTCTTGCCAACTGCTACGCCCAGTCCTGATTTGCATCCAGATGATGCTAGTTGATCTTATTTTCCACTGAACTCATGACTAAGTCATGACTACTGTTGCATGCTGATTTGACCACAAAAGACAAACAGAACCTGAGAGGAAAAATCTGGAACTAGCTGTACTTCTAGTGGAGCAAAAGGAAGAATGTATGACCTTCTGGGTGCTGAGGTGACTTTAAGACTCAACACAAAAGGGGAAATTATTTAAGACTCAAGATAATCCAATCAGAACCCTCCCCTCATGCTGAATTTTGTATCACTGGGCTCAAACAGAAATCTACACAAGATGCATAGTCACTGGAGGAGCAAGGCATTTGGCTGGAACTCCTGTGGGTTTGAATGCTTTCTCAGTTGAGCATTTCAGGGGGAAAAACACCAAGCAAATTAGCTGACGTCAGTGCGGTTGCAATTATGCAAAATGGGGTGAGGATGGAACAGGGGTTGTTAGCGATTATTTCCAACTGCTGCATGATCTTAGTTCTCCCACGAGGCAAAGGAACAGACCCTGAAGTACTTCATCAAGGCTTTTCCTGGTGGTTCAAATATACTTTTACCATCTGAGGTGTTTTTGAAACACTAAGACTCTGTTCTAGCAAGGTCTGCAGGGACACAGCAGTAACATTTATATAATGCCATGCGCTGGCTGCACATATAAAAAGTCCCTAACTTTCCCAGGGGTGCAGTTCAGATTAATTGGTTGCTACTCCTATTTTCCTCCTGGGTTTTAGGGGTCAATTACTTACCCTCCTGAGGAATGATGCGAAGAGTTACACTAAGACCAGCATCTTTAATTAGCTTCACGATATCTGCATGAGGCATGTTAATAATAGACTGGCCATTCACAGCTAATATCCGGTCTCCGACTTTTAGTTTTGCACAGCGATCAGCAGGACTTCCATCAATTATCCGGCCTATTTTATGGGGTACAGCTAGAAAGGAAAAGTATACACGCATAATTAACATGACTCTATAGTCAACACAATGTGGTCAGTAGAAGCAAGCAAACAAATGTTTATATTTAGGCAAAATGGCTTCCACTGAGAAATGTCTAGACCATTTTACTGTGTTCTGTATGTGGTCACCCTATCCAGCCTCTTTCTTTCTCACCTCGCTCTCTCAAACTATTATACAAGCTTCCATCTTCAGCACACTAGGGTTTCTGCTTAAATCTCAGCTGCTAAACTAGAGCTAACACTGATCACAAGGTGCAGTATCGATAGTCACTTTGGAAGCCATGCCATTCCTCATGAATGAGCCTTCTCTTTCAGATTTACTTGGAGAAAACGTCCTTCTTTCCCTCCACTACTTCATTGAAGCTGTATTGGAAGGGAAACAATTCAAGCATCTTTTAAGGCAGAGGTAGGCAACACGGGGCTGGTGAGCTTCCATGTGCTCTTGGACATCTTTCCTGATCTCTGTCAAGGTGCCCTATCCTCCCACTCTAACCCTCCCCCCCAAGATTTTCACATTGGGATTGTTTCCAAAGAAAATGAGCGTCCCCAATCACTGTTGTCTTCAATCCCCATGAACACCTCGAGGCCACCTGTGGGCCTTACAAGGCATTCCTAGGAAATGAAGATGGTGGATGGCTGCAGAATATATAAATTAAATTAAAAAATCAATATACAAATAAATAAACAATTAAAATTGATTAGTATTAAATTATATGCCATTAACCCCACCCTGCATACACATTTTATGCATCTCTGATTTTTCTTCAGCCCCCTGCTGTGTAGAGATCTTTTTTTTTTTTAGTCTGCTCACCAATGCTATACTGAGAGAAGAAAACTATGTAAAATGTTATGTTTTAGTCCAAATTGCCAAAAATTTTGGTGGACTTTTTGTTTACTTTTCTGAAGGGAAGGGAAAAAACAAACAAACCCGGATCTGTGAATGAGCAGACAACAAAGCCAAAGAAGCCTGAAATCTGCAAAAAACAGGCAGAACGGATTTAACAAAAGCCGCACATCCTTATGTGTAAGCCACACAATTTGTGTGTGCCAAATTGTGGGAAAGCAGTACATGGCTGACTTAGTATTGTGTGGGTGGCCTAGTTTAGATGAAATGCTGGACACATGGCTAACTTCTTCTTGCCTGCCTTCATCGTGTTTAGCTCAGACCCCATTGATAGGATGGTGAGCAGCCTAGAGATCCCACACATATGACACATGTCCCAAGACTGAGGGTCACAGTGGACACTAGGCTAAACACGCACTCTTTTTATTAAAAAGTAAAGGATTCATCCAAAAGAATCCAAAACCAAATGCAAAAAGTCTCCTGCATCTAACAACCAGAAGATGGGGGATGTGTGTTTGCATGTCCGTACACACCCTGCAGATGACCTGCTAGCTAGAATGATAGAGAGATGCATTCTTTTTAAGCTCAATCTTCCTTTTGAGCATGCAGGGCTTGGGCAGACTATTGCGATATGAAAGCCCAAACCCACAATTCTCACTCACGTTTTAAGCTTAGGAGAAGTGCAGTTAGAAGTGAAAAGTCTGCAAATATGGGCTAGGGTTACTCCGGTAATTCCCGGGCTGTTTGTTTGCTGTGAGAAATACCTGAAAAAAGCCCACAGCACCTGATTGGAGAAAAGCCATCTGCTCTGCACCTGCTGATTCATACAATGTCTTTGCCTTGTTCCCTGCCCATTTCCTGCCCCTTTCTGCCAAGCAGGGTCAGTCCTGGATTATAGCAGGACATTTGGGCAAGATGACCTTAGTGGGCCTTCTTCTCCTCCCAACAGCCAGTCTTTGCCATCTCCAAAGGAAGCCAGTTTACAGTTCCCAACACAGAAGGACAGGGCAAGCAGACACATGTCCTCCTTATTTATTCATTTAAAAGGATTTCTATATCGGTTTTCATTCTAGCCCCCACCTGCCCATCTCCTTTCTCCTGTCACTGCTTACACACTTGCTGAGGGAAGGAGAACCGTCAAGAACAGGAAGGAGAAGATCTCCAGGGATCAGCAACAGGTTCCCTCAAGAGGTGCCCAGCAATAACAACCCTTGTTGTTAGCTCTGCCACTGCATCTAGTATGAGTAGACCATTGAGTCATTCTAGATGGAAAGACACAACAGAAGTGCTGCCCCCAGCCCCCAGAAGGCTGTTTGCTGTGTCTCTGCTCCAAGTCACTCTTTTGCGGTCGCCTCTTTGCACAACTATTTCATTGGTAGCCCATTATAGTTTGCTGGTACAATTTATCCCCATCATATAATTGCACCTGAGCAGCAAGAGTGGGTTCTCATGGTGATGGGTTGAGTGATGGGTTATCATGCTGCCTGAACTCAGCCAAATAATAAACACTGATGAACAACACATAGTCTGTAATGCAAACCAAAGCAATGGGTCTCTTAAAGGGTTGTTTGTGGTTAACAAGTCCTGGCTAGTTAGCACAGCTAGGTTCAGGCAACACAATAACCCATGATCTCAACAACAATTCATGTTTCATCAGCAGTGGACACTCAATCCATACTCAACCCTTGAGTATGGCTTATTGGGTTTTTTGAGTCCAGTCTATGTGTGCATGGAATCAGTTATATACTTTGTATTTCATCCAGTGATAGTCTTGCTTAGAGAAAATCCAAAGAATTGTATGGAGATAAGTTAAACATGACTGGCGTCATTTATTTCAATGGGTCTACTCTAAGTAGGGCTAAAATTGGACATTACCCAAAGTGAGCTGCTCATATAGCCATTTTGTGAAAAAAATGAGACATGACTTTTTGCCCTTAAGTGTACCCACAATTGCCATCTGAATAGGCTACATAAAAACATAGACTCATGCAAACTTTGGTAATTCATGCTCCTGTAGCCCCAACACTTAAATTTTGACATTCAATTTGCCTCCAATTTTACTTCATTAAAGTATGCACCTTAGTTGCTATACATTTGAGAGACACTGCCTTTGGCAATGAGCATTAGACAAAAATAGAGAACATTCAAAATAAGGATGTCAGGGAGTCAAAGCTTCCTAACAATTGCTCTAATGTGATACTGAAACTCAACAAGTTAAAACAGTTATAAGTGGAATGTAGAATTTTGAAGATGAAATACTGTTCCATCAAGGGGAAGTCTTGTGGATGAAGGATATAAAATTTACAGCCAGTCAAGCATTAAGACAAAATTGGTATAAGATGTTTTTTCAGTGGTATTTTACCCAAAGGATATACAGAAAATGGATAAGAATCACAATGGAAAATGTTGAAAATGTAAATAAGTAAATGGGACTTTTTACCATATATGGTAGACATGTGATAAAATGAGAAGTTTTTGGAAACAGATATATGTGGAAATTCAGAAAATACTTAATTTTTCTGTGAATGCAAAAAATATGCTATTGAGTATCATACCAGATACTCTTCCAAAGAGCTATTTAAATATATGAGAATGGTGGCAAGAGTTACAATTGCATCAAAATGGAAAGCAGAAGCCTGCCCAGTTACTGAAGATTGAAAAAATAATCTAGTTCAGTATTCAATAATGGCAAAACTAACCAATTATATAAATGGGAGACCTGCCAAAGAATTGAATGAAAAATTGCAAGCTTATTATAAGCAATTTAATATTCAGGAAAACTGAACTCATAAAAATATTATTAGTGAGTTTTATCTCAATGCTAAAGCTATGACATTATTTACAATAAGTTTGATAAATCATTTTGTTTACAAATCTTAATGAAGAACTGATTGACTTAACTGTGGGTAGAAGAGAGAGAAATGTTTGCTTCTTCATGAACTTATTAGGTTTTGAGATTATATTCCATATTTGTGTAATATCCCTTGGTATCCTATATATATTCCTCTTTATTTGAATCAAAATAAACTGAAAATAATAAAAAGGTGTCAAAACTTCAGGATGCCAAGGGAAAAAAGTGTTATCCCTTGAAGTCGCCCAATGTGTTTTGGCCTTGTACTATATGTTTTGGACTTTCTATCGTGAGCTAAGTGAAAAGTTTAACATTAAAGGTAAGTTGGGACCCACCTAGGTTTTACATTAGTATTATAGGAACGTTAGGCAGGCAAAATGAACAATGAATGAAAGCATCTTTAAGCTTGCTTGCTCAGCAAATCACCTCTGTTAAACAAATGGGTTCTAATATGAACCTGCCATATTGCTCTTTTGCTAGCACTTGCAAAAATACAATGCTTTATTCCAGAACAGGGAGAAGGGTACATATTTTTATGCTCAAATCCAGTGGATTGAGTTAATTCCATGAGAGTCCAGTAAAGGTATGGCTTGTCCGGCATGCTGTATCTCTGCAAATTAAAACCTAAGCACTCGACTTTCATTTGTTCTTATACTTTCGCAGTTTTTGTGTTACAGAACTCATCCATTACCTACACAGGACTCTGCATTTTTTGATAGCCTGTGTCCCAAGGGATGTTGCTAAATAGCTTCAGTGCAGCTGTGGAAGGAATTTCCTTGGATACACAATGCGGAACGGCTACAATGTGCCACACAGCACACTGAAGCAGGCCTGTGTAGCAGTGACCTGCCAGGGGAGGGAAGGACTATACCAGCTTCTACCTCTTCCAAATGCTATTTTACATATGTAGGCATAGGAGGATGGCATCCTTTGTCCTTAGAATGTAAAGCCATCTTAAAATTACTGGAGACGAGAGCACAGGAAGCTGTATTATGCTGAGTAAGACAATTGTTCCCTCTAGCTTCATTACCATTGAAACCGACTGGCAGTCCCTCTCCAGGGTTTCAGGCAGGAGTTCTGAGGATGCTGGGATCAAACCTGGAACCAGGTCGATAGTAAGCACTGAACCATGGACCCTCTCTCAAAAGCACAGAAGTTGGGTCAGGAAGAGCGGAATCCTAACAGTCCCTCCTCCAGCGTTACCTGGTTGCTGGAAGGCAACCTTTGAATGTAACCTACAGCAGTAAAGCAAGTCCAAGCATTATCTTTAAACCCACACAT